GGGAGGGAGGAGGCGCCCGCCCGGCTCCCTGCAAAGCGGCCTTATTTATCTGGGCACAGCCTCAGCCTCCCGGTGGGAGGCTTGGGGCAGCCGATCCTCTCCCACCGGGGAGCTCCTCTGGGGTGAGGCCGAAGTGACCAGCCAGGCCGGGGCGCCGGGCGCGGGGTGCGGCCGGGCCCTGCCGGCCAGGCCAGCACCTCCGCCGCCTTCCCGCTTCACCGGCTCTCATGCCGGGCTCCCAATGACGGGAGGAAGCCCGGCGAACAGCGTGGCATGAGCCAGGAGCCCGGGCCGAGGTAAGGTGTGTGCTCCCGGACTGGCTGCGGGGTGGGGCGGGGGGCAGGCTACGCCGCGGAGGCGACCACAATGCGAGGGTGGGGAGGGGGCTTGAGACCGCCTCTCCACCCCCGAAGGCTTATGTAACCGCATCCCCTTCCCTGGCCTTGGCTGCCGGGCGTCGGGCCCTGCCAGACCTTCCCACAGCCCCTGACCCCAAAGGATGGCCTGGCTGAGTGAGGCCCACTCCCCATGGCAACCGGACCAAGACGGTGGGTCGGTGGGTCGGTGCTACCTGACAGTGTCCCCTGGAAGCGCAATCGCAGGCCCCCAGTCGCCTGGCTGGGTGAGGTCCCGGCCCATGGCTGAGCTCTGTGCTCCCGGCCTCAGCACCGGCAGCCCCTTGGGCTGTGAGAGGGTGTTAGATACATCACACTCCAGGTGGAGCCATGCGGATGCCCAGCCTCAGGGCCTGTCTGCCTCTGGACACCTTCTGGCCCTGGGCCTGTATGGAGCTGGCACAGTGGGCGGAGGAGGAGGGGATGGGAGGGGACGGGAGGGGACTGGGCACATGCCTGGTTCTGGAGGAGGGGTCAGGCCTTGGCCAAAGCTGCAGGGCCTCAGAAGGGGAAATGGGTACCCCGGGACCTGCTGGGGAGGGGGGCCTGTACTCCTGGAGTTTGAGCAGGTGGGGAGAATGGAACACCAATCACCCCAGGAGGAGAGAAGCCCTGGCTATTGGAACCTCAGGGAGCCAAAGGCCCAGTGGCCACTCCTCCAGCCCCTCCCTTCCTCTACCCGGGAAGCCTCCCCTGCATGGAGAGAGCAGATGGTGGATGCCACCTCACCTGCCCCTCCAGCATGCCCCTCCCCACACCGCCTCCTCCTAGGGCCCAGTGACCAGAGTCAGTTCAGGCCTCCCTGCTGCCAGGCAGGCACTGGGCCCCTTCCTACATCAGACTCCTTTGAAGGCTGCTGGACAGCAGCCTGGGTGCAGAAGGCCTGAGAAGTCTGGGGGCCCACAGGCCAGGTCGGAAGCCTGATGGAGACCCATGGGTTCA